CATTACTTTGAAGACAACTTGCTAATTTATTTGTGTATTGTGTGTGAAAATATTGAAATCACGTGTGTGACACCATGCTGGCTCATACCTTTTAAACTGGATATCATTAGTGCACGTGGTCCTGGATATTATCGGGATCTCACCCATAGCTCTTGCTCTCCTCTACTGTTATCTGTTTTAAATGAGCTTTGATAGAAAACTAATAGTTTTCTAGAACTACTATAGCAAAATTCCATAGGCTTGGGAGCTCATACAACAGACATATATCTTTTTTAAATTTTATTTATTATTTTTATTTTGTGTGTATGAGTGTATTGCCTGAATGTCATGCAATGCCCTCGGAGGTCACAAGAGGGTGCTGGATTCTCCTCAAACTGGAGATATGGACCATTGTTAGCCACGATGTGGGTTCTGGGAATCAAACCCCGGCCCTTTGCGAAAACAGCCAATGCTCTCAACTTCTGAGTCATCTTTCCAGCCCAGACAGATGTCTTTTTCATAGTTCTAGAGGCTAAAAATTTGAGATCAAGGTCCCTCCAGGTTTGGTGTTTAGTGAGCACTTTCCCCTTGGGGAGCAGGTGGCAGCCTTTCACTGTGTGGTCTTTGCTTACTGTATGCATGGGAGAGGAAGGGAGAGTGGGAGAGCTCACTGGCTCTCTTCTGCCTCTAATAAGGACACATTATTTAATGACATCAGGGTACCTCTCTCACTTAACTTTACCTCCTTGGCAACTTTACATCTAGGGCTTCCATATATGAATGGCAGTGTGTGTGTGTGTGTGTGTGTGTGTGTGTGTGTGTGTGTGTGAGAGAGAGAGAGAGAGAGAGAGAGAGAGAGAGAAAGAGAGAGAGAGAAGAGAGAGAGAGAGAAAGAGAGAGAGAGGTGTAAATTGAATCTATATCAAACATTTTATTTGAGGAAGAGATTTTTGATAGGGTCTTAGAAACTTCCAGCCTGGCCTGAGGCCACTAGGGATAAACCTCAGAAATCTTTGAAAATCCAGAATGGGGCTGAAAGTAGAAATGCATTCACATTCAAAAAGACAAGTCTGTTGGAACACAGAATTAAACCAGGGTGGCAGAGAAACTCGGGGTATGTATTCATTCATGTAGAATGAAGAAAGCAGACTTGAAAAGATTCCGAGTGAAGTTTCTAGATCATTCTTATAAACCCCTATTATTTTGTTGTTATACCGAATTGCACTTGCATGGACCCAGTTCTTCTTTCTACTTTGGTTTCTGAGCCATTGGAATGACAAAACTGGCTCCATTCTGTTCTAGCTGACTTTTGCTTTACCCTGTATTTCTGCCCAGCCACTCCTATTGCAGCCAGCCAGCCAGAATGTCCCATGTAGGCTGCACCTATGATTCAGAGGGAACATTTTTTTCTACAGTACTGAGAAACTTAAAACTCACCAGGGAGCACATCCAGGTAGCACGTCCTCCCATGCAGCAATGCTGGCATCTCCACAGACCCATTATTTTTACAATTCTGAGAAACTTGTTCTTCCTAAGCAAAATTTTTGTTAACTGAAAACCTCTTTGCTAACTGACCTGTCCCTGGTCTGGTGTAACTATGATGACCTGATGTAACTATGGTTATTGACTTTGCCTCCGGCATGATGTAAGAACAGTTTTAAGCTTTATAAAGCATGCCCTGCTTCTCCTCAGGGTTGAGAGCTCTTTAGAGTGTTAGCTCCCTCTCAACTACCAGCTAATAAAGGACTCTATATTCAACCCAAAACTGTATGGCTTTTCTTTATGGGTATTGAACCACTGTTAATATCCATTTTTTACTTGCAAATGCCATGGCGGGGTGTAATGGACATCTTCCTGGGATGACTGGAAAGGATCTTGGCTCAGGTTTATCTCACCGTGCATCAAGTCTGACACAGCAGCTGCCGATATATATATATATATATATATGTATATATATGTATATGTATATACAGTATACGCACATATGGTTGTGAGGTTATTTTGTCTTTTCGAGATAGGGTCTCTCTGTAGTCACTGCTGACTTAGAACTCGCTATGTAGGACAGGCTGGTCTACATCTCAGAGAGATCTCTGCCTCCTGAGTGCTGGGATTAAAGGTGTGCACCACCACACCCAGCTGATGTATTTTTCTTGAGTAGATAAATGAGAGCTAAGTGATAGAGACAGGGTTGTTTACAAGGCCAAGAGGTTGCTGGTTTACAGAGGAGAAAGTGATTGCTTGAGGTGGTGTTTTCTGGTGCCTGGGGCTTGCTTGGTTCCCATAGTTCACCTTTCCCCTAGGAATTTCCAAATTCATTCCGGAAGTCTGGGAGTGGAACAGGGTTGATTGAGGCCAATGGGACTGGAGAGAAAGTTCAGGCAGGTGTCCCATGATACTTATGATGCCCCCAAGTGTTGGCTGAGGTGCCAACACAATCTCTCTGGTTTTTGCCCTTCTTTTCTGACTTCTTAGGATGTGGGCTTCTCTCTTTGCCTTTGTTCTCTTTGTGTGATGTGGCCTCAGTTCTTTGAGGGTACAGGAACTTGGATAGAACACAGTGAAGCCAGTGATGCATGGTGAGAGCCAGGTGTGCCCCTCCAAACTCACTGTGTCTGAACATATGGGGAACAGGGCACCGTGATGCTAGATGACTCAAGGGGACACATGAGCAAATGGAAAAAAGAGACTAGGAGTTCCCAAGAAAGGATCATAAGTTATTTAACAGAGGCCTAAGTAGGAATAGGGAGAAAATCTCTTCCCCAAGCTACAAATCAGGAAATAAGCACTCCATAAAGGCAAAAATATCTTCTTTGTGTATGCTTTTTCTGATTGTAAGAGTGGTAAATGCTCAATGTAGACAATCAGTGGAATTTGAAATACATGGGAGAGTGGGCCGGAGCAAAGTCTGAGGAGGTGGCAGGTATTTGTGGGCTGTGCTCTAACTAAAATCAAGCCTGTCAAAATGCCAGTGATGGGTGACTCAGGAGCAGTGCCAAAGGCCAACTGGAAGGTAGGCCTCGGGGGTACTCAGCTATCTTCTGGATCTCTCTGGACCCAGAGGCAGCTGAGTTACCTTATGGGAGGGCAAGGTGAGGGTACTGGGGGCAGAGGGAGGCAGGGCAGAGGAGAAGCCCTGCAGTGTCTGTCCACAGGGTCTAAAGATCTTGAAAGTGCCTAAAGACGATGAAACTCTAAAGTCATTCTGTGGGGGATTCAGGGTGTGAATAGATGCTTTGGGTAGGCTTTGGTTATGTCCACAAGGTGCTACTCCAGCCTTTCCAATCTCCCATCAGCCTAGGCCAGTGGGAAGATACCTGAGCACACCCTTTCTTCTCTAAGAAATCACTAGGAGCAAAGCTCAAGAATTCCCTGGCCACAGCCTAGCCAGCCTGTCTTCCTTCCCACCTCTCCTCTAGACAAGGGTGCTGATGTCTTTGGTCTATTTTCTTTGTCTTGAGAACTCAGTAACTTGGACAAAGCTGACATGATCCCTTCTTGCTGTGTCTTCTGGCTCCTCCAGCCTTCATCAATTTCCCTTTTTCAGAAGCATCTTCTCCCTTGTCTTGTCACAGTGTCCCCTATCTCTCTTTGGGAGGTTGGTATCTGTTATGGTGGTGTGGAGGATGGGCTCCCTAAAAGATATTCTGAGGATTGATGGGGATGGAGCAGCATTGTGGGCTTGGACACCACCACTTTCTGGGTCACCTGCTCAGCCCAAATGCAAGCCCAGTGTAGGCACTGAGATTTTCCTGCTGTCCTCTACCCAAAGCCTAGAACAAGCATCTTATATGGGCACTAGAGCGTGGCCAGGTGGTGTGTTATCTGTACAGTAACACCTGGCCCAGACCATAATCTAGAAAAGAGTACTATGGAAAGGCAGTCCCCTATCCTTCTCCACCTCACTTGGTTTTGCAAATTGACCAAATAGGGCTGTTTTATGCAAGCTTCCTGTGAGTTACAAATATATGGCCTGATTCATTGCATCTGAAGGACCACAAGGCAGGCCCAAGCCCACAAGCTGCTCTCATGGCCACCCTACTCCCATTCCCAACAACTTGTCTATTTGCTCATTCACAGGATACACTTTCTTCATTTTGTCTCATAGTGCCTGGACCAGCTGCTCCTTCCACCATTAGATTTCCAGGATGGTCTTCTATTACCCTGTCAATTATCTCTATTTCCCTCTAGTGCAGAGGGTCTCATAGGGACTGCGTACCTATCATATTTTGTCCCTGAACTGCTGACTCAATTGAAGGTCCAGATGTACATCTAGTGCAGATGTGTACCCCTGCATTAGTGCCAGAAACCTAAAAGCACCAAAGCTTTGCAGGGAACACACAAGCTATAACCGGACCATATGTGTTCTGGGCAAAGGGCAGAGTCATTCAGAGCTTTAAAAACTGTTAGTGAAGAGGGAGAAGGCAGTGTTGTGGGTCCACATCTTCTGACATCAGACTTTTAAATAAATTACTTTGATTTTGAAATATTGGCAATCAATTCCCAAACATTTAAAAGCAATTAGCAGACCAAGCCCTGGAACTCCCCAGAGGGACACGGAAGCAGAGAATTTGTACTCACTGGTGCCATTACAATGAAAAAAGTATGTTTGGAAAGCTGGAAGCCTCAGATGAGAGTCCGTAAGCAACCCTCACGGCTTTGTTTCCTTTTATTGGAAGACTGGGACCCTGTAGGATATAGCCAAGGGTTATACCCATAGCTCTGTGAACATTTTATGGGCTTGATGAGTTATCTTGTTCAACAACACAGCATCACTGTAAGTCCATAGTGATATCTTTAGGATTCAGGTAGCATAGGTTAGAGACAGTGTCTATCCCAAGGTCTCTTAGATCCAGCCTAAGGTCAGACTCAATAGGGCCATTGGGACTGGTGGATGAGGGCATGGGGCTTGGCTTCTGGGGCTGCTGGACAGGATGCTGGAGTATCTTCGTGGCCTGGGGCTTATCCCAGGGTGGCAGAAGTGGGCCTGGGTATGATCAACCCCTTGAGGGTTCTTACTGGGCTCAGTTCTGCTTGCTTCTCTGTGGTGATAGGCACTGCCAGATTCCTCGGTAGACCATCCCATTGTGCAGAGCATAGTTAATGGCATTGATCGTGGGCACTGTTTTGGCAATGAGGGCTGGCACCTGTTGTGGTAGAAAAGTTGACAAAAGATGTTTTGAAACCTCTGCTTCTCTCACTTCATGCCTCTATGTGCCCCCAAATGCCAATTATTTGTCCTTGGCTTGATTCTGCAGCCTCTGAGCCTTTCCAGGTGGACTGTACCTGGTTTGTAGAGTACCATAGAACAGCCCCTCCCAGCCCTGGCCAAACACACCTGCTCCCCACCTGGGTACCAAGTTCAGTCCCTGATCTCAGATTTTACTTTATGGCTGGCTGTTCCTATCATCCCAGTGGGACCCAGAGGATGAAGGGTCAGACAAACAAATGTTCTGTGCCTTATGAATATTAAGAGAATGTGAACAAAAAGTCAGAGGGAGAGATGCAGTGAGGCAGGGAGATGTGAAGATGGAAGGATTCTTTGGGCTTTGGAAGAGTCTGTACCATTTGCATTTTGGGAGAGATGGAGTTCACATCTGTGATGGCTGCATATAGGTACAGGAGGGCATAGGGACCCCAGCCCAGCAGCAGCATCTGGCCTGGCAGAGTGGTGTTCACCTAGGGAAAAATGATTACAGGAAGTATCAGTTCATTCCAGGTGGCCACAACCATGCAGAAGTAGGAGGCATAGGGACCCCAGCCCAGCAGCAGCATCTGGCCTGGCAGAGTGATGTTCACCTAGGGAAAAACCATTACAGGAAGTATCAGTTCATTCCAGGTGGCCACAACCATGCAGAAGTAGGGTACCAGTACAGAGCAGGCTTTGTTTAGGAAGACCAGTAGAGAGCAGAGGACATCAGCACCAGATAGGTTCTTTGCTTTGAAAGGCTGTGTGACTTTAAGCCTGAGCCTGTTATTTAAGGTTACTTTACCTTGTCTGTAAAATAGTCTGATATTCCTGAGTTGCCTGGAGGCAGGGACTAGGGTGGGGTAGGGTGGATAATGAGCGTCCTTCTACTCTCTGCTCTTCCAGAAAAATTCTGGGCTCTGTGACTCTGGGCACAAAGTTCCCCAGGCTGAACTGTGCCTAGGCCATGAGCTCAGTCTGTCATCCTTCTACTCTCTGCTCTTCCAGAAAAATTCTGGGCTCTGTGACTCTCGGCACAAAGTTCCCCAGGCTGAACTGTGCCTAGGCCATGAGCTCAGTCTGTCTGGACTGAGAGGTTTTTATGCATAAGGTACAATCAGGGAGTGGACTAGCAGGGAAGGTGAGCTATGCTAAAGCCTCACCAGGAGTCACAAGAAGGCTTACAATGCAAGATCTAATCTCAGGATGCGTTTGCAGTGGTCTTGTTCCCTACATACCCTCACACACTAAGATTTTGATGACGAACATCTCATTGACATGTCTCTCTTTAACAAAGCATGTTTAATTGAGGGCATAGTTCTTCAATGTTGGATTTTTAATATATGTTGAACAATGGTACTGGTGAGATAGGTCAGTGGGTCAGGTGCCTGCTGTGTACTCATGAAGATCTGAATTCATATCACCAGCACTTGCTTGAAAAGCTGGGTATAATGACACATGCCTGTCATCCCCAGCACTGGAAGGTAGACACAGGAGGATCTCCGAGGCTCATTGATCAGTTTAGCCAATCAGTGATGCCAAGGTTCAGTGAGAGACACCATCTCAAGAACTAAGATAGAGGGGCTAGAAAGATGGTTCAGTGGTTAAGAGCCGTGGCTGCTCTTCCAGAGGACCTGGGTTCAGTTCCCAGCACCCACATGGTGGCTAATAACGATCTGTAACTCCAGTTCCAGGGGCCCTGATGCCGTCTTCTGGCCTCTGCTGGCACTGCATGCATGTGGTGCACTTACATACATGCAGGTAAAACATTAATACACTTTTAAAATAAACAATTTTTTAAAAGTTGGAGAGTGATAGAGGATGGCTCTAGATATCAACTTCTGGTCTCCATGGGTGCATGCACACGTGTACACACATGCATATGCCATGCACACACAAATAGCAAACCAGAATACAATTTTTTTCTTTTGAATAGTCCCCTTCTGGAGCAAAAAGATACCTAACACTGATGGAAGGCCTGCCATGGAGAAGCTGAGGCCAGAAGGGAAACTGGCATCTCAGTGGTAGAGAGTGTCCTCTCCAAAAGCCGTTCAGCTTAGCTCAGATCTCTGTCCCCAAGAATGGCTCAACAGTAATGGGAGAGATGAGAGAATCAGGGTGGTAGCCTTTCTCCCTGGCTGACGGAACCTCCAACAAATCTGCAGACTTTTCACGTGCAGACAAAAATTGAAGTGAGTGAAGGCTGGTGAGATGACTCAGTTGGTAAATGAGCTTGCCGCCAAACGATGCTCTGAGTTTGATCCCCGAGACCCACATGGTAGAAGGAGAGAACTGACTCCCACAAGTTGTCCTCTGGCCTCCTCATACATGGCACGTCATGCACATATATGCCTCCCGATAAATGTAATTAAAAATTGTTTTAAATTGAGGTGAACAATGTGGAGGACAGTCTGGCGGAGTGTGATATTCTTGCCTACAAGCTAGGAGCCAGAATTCTCAACCCAGTGTAGCCCTTAACTTTTATCTGGGTCTCCAGCTAATATTGATTTATAACATCCTTTTCTAATTCATAGGAAAAAAATGAAACAGTAGAGTAAAAGCCTTAATAAAAAGGATATTTCTTTTATGTACCATAATTGAGCACTTGGGTTGAAGCGTCCCATACCTGGGTTTGGCTCCATCTCTGCTTTTACCAGTGTATGGATTTTGGTATGTTCCCTGTCAGTAACACAGGAATAATAAAGCTTCCTTTCCTCAGAGTGTTCACAAAGATGAAATGAAAACATATATAAAATAATACTAATATCTGCTTTTATAAAAAATAAGCTTTGCTGCTCGTTATGACCTACTTGCTAATTGTCCATGTAGCAGAGTGAAATGGACACTGTGGCAAGGAAATTTTAAAGCAGAAATTCAGAAGTGACCAGGAGGTCTTATTTTAAAGCATTGTTTTTCTTAGACAAATGTGCTTGTAGGTGTGATTTTATGTTGAGGGCAATAGTCTGTGACTGTGGTTAAATTAAACATCTCAAAGCAATTTAAATAGTAGCATTTGAAGGGCCTGTAATTTCGTGCCGTTTCGAATCCCTGGGAAGGATGGGGTGTAACAGCATGGGTGCTGTGCTGTGGGTGGCTCTGAGGGTTGTAGGGTCTGGGTAAATCTGATTTGGAGATTTGAGCCCTAACATCCCATGCTGTATGCAAGATGAATTTTCTCCTAATTATTGCAAGCACAGAAAAAAAACCTGATTGACACCTGCTATGTCATGCGTACTTCCAGAGTCTCTGAGAGGGTCAAGAGATTTCTGCTGTTCTAGAAACTGGTTCCTTACCTGGAGATGACCACTCCTTCCACATTTCTGCTCCATGAGCCGATATGAAGTGAGTGTGATGAACAGGGGTACGAGAAAGTTGAAAAGCCGCGGTGAAGAGGAAGCTGAGGAAGCCATGGCGTAGAGGAACAGGGGTCAGCTCCCAAGAATGACCAGCCACCCAGGTCCACCAGACTCGGTGCTTGACAGTGAGAGTTGGGGAACCAGCCCCAGCAGACAAGCACTCAGAGTATGACTGCTCCAGCTCCCAGCTGGACTCCCCTCAGCAGTCATGGAAGCACAAGGTTTTCCTGAAGCTTGCCACTGGGAGTCAGGAGCTGAGATGATGAAGGGCCTTCTTTAAGTTCCTGTGTTCAGCCTTGCTGTCTTGTTTATTTCCCAATCATGGAGAATGGGATGCTTCAGTTTGGGAAATATGTTCACTACATCCTGGAGGTATCAGTGGACCAAGAGGAAAGAATGTTCAAGGAAATCTCTAGGCACAAGGATTTGAAAGGAATTTATGGATGACAAAGACTAGATACTGCATCATTTAATGAATCTTTGAAGGATGGGGGATGGGGAGATGGCTCAGCAGTTAAGAGCACTGGCTGTTCTTGCAGAGGACCTGGGTTCAGGTCCCTGTGCCCATACAGTGGTTAACAACCATTCTTGTTCATAACTCCAGTTCCAGGGGATCTGACTCCCTCTTCTGACCTCTGTGGGCACTGAACCACATGCGTGCACTTACAGACATGCAGGCAATACACCCATACACATAAAATAAAGATAATAAAATATATAAAAAGAAGACGCTATTGAAGGGGCTAAGTTTGGTGGCTCATACCTCAGAAGTCAAAGCAGGAGCATTACCCCAAGTTCAAGGCCAGCCTGGACTATATGGTGAGTTGTAGGCCAGCCTGCCTACAATGTTAGAATCTGTCTCTAAAAACAACCGCCATCACCATCAAAAATAAAACAAAACAAAATCATTAAAAAGGCCACAGAAGAAACTAGGGTCTCAGTCCAGGTCATGAGGCGGTAGCAGGACTGACCAGGAGCCTGTAGGTGGCAGGAGTCACCAGGAAGCAGATGGCAGAGCCCCACTTCATGAAGGGAAGACTATCCAGAGGACATGTTGGAGTTGTCCACTAAGGAGAGGTAGGAGGAAAGGCTTCCAGAAGGACAGGACCCTTGTTGGGGAGAGTTCTGCAGGACGTTGGGACAAGATTCTGCCTCTCAGGTTGACTTTACCTGGAAAACCTATTAGCAGGGGCAGGTGTTTCAGGAGTCAGTGTTGTCTCTAAAACGTCAGTGCAATATGGCTCTGCTGGAAACAAGAGGCAAGAGGGAGCTAGAAGCCATGTAACCAGCCCCCAGGGTGATCCATGAAGGATTTCCTAAGCTTTGTTCTCCCCAGAGCCAGGGGCGGTACTAGAACACAGGCTCCCTGGCTGTGAAGACTGTCACACATTCAGACAATGTCTTGCTAGGGATTGGCCCACAGTAGATTCTCAGAATGCCTAGAACTGAGCTCCATGCTAGGTGGTCCCTACCAATGCAAAGCACTTACATGTTTTGAATCTGTTGATCTAAGGGCATGGATCTATTCCAAAGTCAGTGAAGTCAGGGTCCAGATAGCTCTCTGTGCTCAAGAGGGTGAAAGGGTGGGGCAGCTCCATGATTGTTATGAAGGCTACAGGCCAACAACCCACTGTGTGATGCTCCTTTGGATACCTAAAGCTGGGTTTCAATTTCTATAACATTCACTCCATTTGCCAAGTCTCCACAATGGGTCTTCCCCAGTCCCAGTGCCAGTCTGCGAGGATTTCATGATTAAGGAACTGAGATTGCCAGCAAATGTGGACAGCACTTTGGTTGAGTTTTCAGTTGGGACAGCCTTGTCACAAAGGCTTAAAGCCAAGATTCCTATGGAAGGGAGCTTCAAAGCTGCAATTCCCACCTCACCTGTCACCCTTAGAGTAGTCCAGGGTACAGCATGTCCCCAGGGGCTCATAGTCATAATGGCCCCAGCCCATCAGGGGCAGAGCTGCCCAGAAGACAGATGACAGCCACACAAACAGTACCAGGGGAACAGCTGTGTTCCATGCCAGTTGGCTACCTGCATGGGATAGAAGAAGAATAGATTTTGAGGAAACAGCTTGACCACATGAAAAAGAATAGACTTCTGGTTTCACAGTGTCCCTAAAACCCAGCTCTGATTCTTAAGAGTGTGGTGCCTCAGGCAAGTCAGGGGGTATCTCTGTACCTCAGTTTTCTTCCCCATAATGGGCATAAAAGCTCTCTGCCTCTCAAGGACTGTTGGATGAACAAAGGAGATCATGGGTGGTGAAGATATCCTTCCACATCTGATATACCATCTTCAGAGAACAGAAAGGAGGAGGAAGAGGGTGACCCCCAAAGTCAAGGTTAAGGTTGAGACATGGGCAGTGACTCAAGTCAGGGGAGGTGAGGGAAGGAGGGAGGCACTTGTTTGGAAGCAGGATGTATGCTTGAAGGATATTCTTTAAGAACTCAGGGACTAGGGTTCTATCTCAGTGCCATTGGCAGAAACCAGGTACTGGCAGCATCTTAGGTGTGATCCAGCCCCACTGACTCGTGCTATTCCCTCTGCCCAGGCCTCTGTCTGCTATGGCCACATTTAACCTTTCATTCTCTTCTGGGACCTGGCTTCAGAGCACCTGTCACAGGTGTCCTCATCTGTCTGTGGTTTATTTGTTGATCTCCTTTGTACATTGGACAGGATGGGCTTGCATCAGCAGAGAAGAGCAGGTCTACCACCTCCCTCACCCCATACTCAGCTTCTAAGGATGTGGCCTCAGATAGATTTTCTTGGACACGTTTCCCTGCTATAGACAGAAGGTTTGTATCCCCAAATTCAGATGCTGAGGCCCTAATCCCTAAATGATGACAGTTGAAGGTAGGCCTTTGAGAGATAATTAATCATGAAGAGGGAGCCCCTGGTGAGATTAGTGCTCCTTTAGTGTGGACTTTCCCAGGCTGCATTGTGGTCCACAGCCCTCACAGCCCTATTGTAAGGAACATGAGGGATACCATCTTGTTCTCCTCCACATGAAGATGCAACTCAGTGACCATCTACAAAGGCAGAAGAGTGAACATACGAACCAGAACATGATGGCACTCTAATCTCAAACTTGTGAGAAATAAACTTCTGCTGTTTAAGCTGCCTGCTCTTTGATGTTTTGTTATAGTAACCCAGGCCACTAAGACACCCCAACTGTGGGCACAGTAACTAATATCCACCTTGGCCCATGGGTGGCAACAGCCTTTGTTATTATTTATTTGTTTGTTCTTAAAATTATTTTTTATTAATTTTTATATTGAAATTTTGTGAATTTCATATGATATATTTGATAGTCCCTCTCTCTCAAAGCTCTGTTCCTTTGAGATATATATAGAGAGAGAGAGAGAGAGAGAGAGAGAGAGAGAGAGGCCAAGAGACACATCTGTGTTCATCCACTGGAACCTCGTCAACCTACTAATAGTCTTACCCTTAAATGAGACTGACTCTCTCCTTCCTGGCAGCCATCATTTGCCAATAGTTCCTCAGGTAGGGCTGGGGCTTCTTACAAAACTTCCCTATGGTTATGCTGGGATTTTTTCTGGCTTGAGCTTATGTGGGACTTGTTCATGCTGTCACCATTGGCAACAGCCTTTTTGCATGAAAAATTTAACTAAGATAGAATACCCACAACCACCCAGTAACTTAAGGAGCAGATGAGCCCAGCCCTCCTCCTCCCTGTACCCTGTCATCCTGTGTTTTTGCTGCTCCAGGGCAGAAAGGGTTTGCTATGAGGACCTGGACTTGGTGTTAAGTCAGAGTTAACTGCCGAAACAGCAACTATTGGAAAAGATGGTCGCCAGGGTGTGTGTGTGTGTGTGTGTGTGTGTGTGTGTGTGTACACATGTGCATGCCACACATACCTGTGATAGTCCAGGGGAGTTTTGGTGCAGTGACTGGGATAGAAACAGTAAGAGAGGTGCCCCAAGGCCATGTTGGCAGAAGAGGCTAACCTCTCAGAATAAGAACTAAGGTAAAAATTTGCCTACAGAGAGGCTTGTGAAAGGAGAGGCCTGTGAGGGCCCATGACCTGGCTGTTGTGCATGTATTTGTGGTCAGGGCAGATCTGCAGAGTCTAATAGAGCCATGTCTAGGAGGAGTTAGGATGTGGGGGCCAGGTATGCCACAGCAACATTCATGTTGGAAAAATCCATAGCACAAGACTTAGGGTTCATTTAACAAGGGGAATAATGACCTCTTGGATATCTGGCCATACTCAATCCCAGCCCTGACTCTACTTTCTATTCAACACAGGGCAAGTTGCTTACCTTGTTGTGCCTCAGTTTCTAAGGCTGCAAACTGGAGGTTTGCTGGGTAGGTTGGTGGAGACATGGTTCCTCACAGCATGTTTATGTGACTCTCTCTGGTATTTTAATGTGTATTAAAACTGCAAGGATTGGGGCTGGAGAGAAGACTCAGTTCCAGGGGATTTGATGCCCTGTTCTGGGCTCCACAGGCTTTGCATGCACATGGTGCATTTACATACATGCAGGCAAAACATTTATATACATAAATAAAATGAAATAAATAAAAATTTAAAAATAAAATTGTAAGAACAGTAAATCCATGATTTTGCAGATATCATTTAGACTAAGACTAAACTAGTTTTGTGGGATTTGTTTATTTGTTTTTAGAGGTAGAGTTTCATGTTTCTTAAGCTGGTCTTGAATTCACTAAGTAGCTGAGGATGACCTTGAGCTCCTGATCCTCCTACCTCTCTCTCCCAAGTGCTGATATTATACATATGTGCTACCACATAAGGTTTAAGTGATACTGGAGGCAGTTTTGTGGGATTTGTTTATTTGTTTTTAGAGATAGAGTTTCATGTTTCTTAGGCTGGTCTTGAATTCACTAGGTAGCTGAGGATGACCTTGAGCTCCTGACCCTCCTACCTCTCTCTCCCAAGTACTGATATTATACATATGTGCTACCACATAAGGTTTAAGTGATACTGGAGGCTGAACTTAAAAGGCTTAAAAGGTGGATGCTAACTAAGCACTCTACCAACCAAGCTACATCCCCCAGTCCTTAGATTTTTTTTTCCAGAACTGAAGATGGAACCCAGAGCCTTGAGATTGTTAGGCAACTGCTCTACCACTGAGCTAAATCTCCAATCCCTCTAAATTAGGTTTAAAAAACATTTTATTTAATATTTTTTATGTGTATGCATGTATTGCCTGCATATACATGAGTGCACTCGAGTCATACATTGCCTGCAGAGATCAGAAGAGGATGTCAGATCCCCTGGAACGAGAGTTATGGACAGTTGTTAGGTGCCATGTGGGTGCTGGGATTTGAAGCCAGGTCTTCTGCAAGAACAGCCCCTAAATTAGATTTTTAAGAGAACTGTAATCCCCAGCACTTGGGAAATGGATGCAGGATGATCAGGAGTTCAAAATCATCCCGACTATATGGAGTTTGAGGCCAGCCTGGGTTACACGAGACCTTGTCACCAAACAAAGTAAAACAGAACCCAGAAAACTTAAACACAGTTTAAAAAGTTTAAAGTAATTCATTTGTTGGAAAAATTAACAAACGGGATGGGGATGTAGCTCATTTCGTTGAGTGCTTACCTAGCATACAAAAAGCACTGGGTTTGAGCCCCTACACTGCAAATATCAGGCATGGTAGTTTACACCTGTAATCCTAGCATACACGGGGAGTTTGAAGCCAGTCTGGGATACATGAGACCCTGCCTCAAAACAAAACCAAACAAACAAAATAACAAGCAATCACAGGGCAGGTAGCACACTGATATGGGGACACACACACACACACACACACACACACACACACTCCTCTTTCCTCTGATCCTCAACTGTGCCCTATAGCCAGGGCATTTTCTATATCCATGATCTCATTTGATTTTCAAAAACAAATCTCTGAGGTTGAATTTTAAAATCATTTTTCAGAGGAGAAAATGGAAGTTCAGAGAGGAATCCTGATACAAGGTTGAAACAATGGCAGAGGCAGCCTTTCCAACATGCATCTCCAGGTAGGCTCCCTGCATGCATGCTTGCCCACCCTCTCTTTTACTGAAATGAATGCCCAGCGCTACACACATGTACCCTGCCACCTATCCACACTCCCCTCTGGAAAACACGGAACTGAACTGAATCCTGACCACCCCATCCAGATCTCTTATCCCTTGGGTGTCCCTACAGTCAGGGCTCCAGGGACATACGTGTGCAGTAGTGGTGGTAGCGCCCCCATGCGATAGCTGCGGTGCCACAGATGCTGGCCAATGCTGTTGCAAAGCCCTGGAAACCATGAGCCTGGCAGCCCTCTGAGCCATATGGCCAGCGCCTGTGGGAGACATTGGGCGGGGCATAGTGATTCCTCCTTTCATCCCTCCCTGCTCCCACACCTGCCCAGTAAACCTGAATGGTTCCTGGATGTTAGCCCCACTCCTACAAGGAGACCTTATTATCTGAGTTTTCTCATGATGCAGACCCTGCAGACTCAGTGACTTTCTCAACACCACCAGGCTAAAGGGTCTTTTTGGATGATCATATGTCTCCAACACAGGAGGGCTTACTTAGGCAGGAAAGCTGAGGCCAAGAGAAGAAAAATACTGAGCACAATAGACAAGGCAAAGCCAGAGGACAGACCCCAAGCCTCCCAATCCTCAGCTGCATGGGCCAAGCAAGAACCTGTTCAATATGAGAGGAAGAATCCTAACTGATTCAGACCCCAAAGAGATTGCTCCTGGTGTGTGTGTGTGGCCGGGGGTGAGGGCACACATATGGACGTACTAGACTCCTGTCAAAATTCTCTCTGCTTTCACAAAACTTATCTCGTGCTTACTAAACATATCAGTTCAACTTATTTACAAATAACTAAATCAATGCTTCCAATCACTCATATGAAGTAGGTCATAATATTCATTTTACAGGAACATCCTAGAACCATAAATGATGGAGCAAGGATTCAAGGCTAGACCACCTGAGTAGAGGGCTCATGCTCTGAACCCTTCTATCTTACCATATCATTGGTCAGGTCTGAGAGACCCCTGTGCTACAGAAATTGGCTGTGTTTTTTCGGCAATAATCAGGAACTTGAGTAGAGCTTAGTTCAGCTTGTCTACTCTTGACCCTTTGGGACAGTTTTCTGTAGTTAGACTCTGTTCTGCCTGCCCACAGCTCAAGGAAGCCCCAGGCAAGGCCCCAGGACCCGGGGAAAGAAAAGGGGTTGATACCGGAAGAGGCTGGATATGGCTGCAATGAGGGCATTCAGGCTGATCCCACTGTCCGCCAGGGCCAAGCTCAGCACCAGCAGGTGGATGGGAGTTCGCAGCTCTGGGGTCTTGCAGAAAGAGAAGATGGTCAAGCCATTGAGGCTGAGGCCAGCGAGAGCTAAAAAGAAGGGTGAGACCCGGTATGGAGGCTGGCAAGGCCCATGTGGGAGTTCCGTTTCTAGCACCCAGCTGGTGGCTAACAACCATCTGTGACATATAAAAATTTAAAAAGAAAGCAGAGTCTGGGGTGGCTGAAGCTTGAGTAACTTCCTGGGTTCCTGTTCAGCAACCTTTCAGTGCAGCTTTTCAAATGCTACTTAGGTGGGATGACCCTCAGGTACTGAAAGTTGTGATTCACCCTGCCATCTACCTACTGACAGACTAACAAGAAGCTCATGTGACAGTCACAGTAACTGACAGGTGCTGAGTGAGCAGGTGCCAGGCAGCCTCACAAGCAATTTGCATGGATCCTCTTTTTCAAACTTCTCCCCATGTAACACCAAGAAGACTCAGATGCTAGGTAACATGCCTTAAGTGCACACTTAGGAAGTGGTAGAGCTAGGGATATCATTCAGGTCTTTCAGATTTCAAAATGCCTTCTCCAAGGGCTCTGGGGGCAATGTCAGGGAGAGGCTTGCAGAAGAGGAACCAACATAGAGCCTGGAGTGACCCAGGGTACCAGGCAGTGGGGTGAACCAAAAGGAGGTACTCTCCGGCAGCAGAAAGTCCTGACCTTGAATTTCAGCTTGGTTACTCTTCTAGTTACTTTCTATGGCTGTGATAGAAGCACTGACGAAGCCAACGTGGGGAAGAAAGAGTTTATTTTATCTTACATCTCCCAGGTCACAATTCATCACCGAGGGAAGTGAGGGCAGGAACCTGGAGGCAGGAGCTGAAGCACAGACCATGGAGGAGCACCGCTTACTGGATTGCTCCTCTGGCCTGTTCCCAGGGGTAGCACCCCTCACATTGTGCTGAGCCCTCCCACATCACTCAACAATCAAGAAAATGGCTCATAGACATGCTACAGGCGAATCCAATAGAGACAATTCCTTCCTTCCCTCTTCCCAGATGTGTCAAGTTAACAGCAGATGCTATCCAGCATAGTTGCTCAGCTTCCTTTATCAAAACTGAAGAGCAGTGTCTAGGCCTGATGGTACAGGCTTGCAATCACAGATACTCACAAAGCTGAGGCAGGAGGATTACAAAACCCTGCCTGAAAAGTAAAACATGAAAAAAAGGACAGGAAGTAAAGGACAGGTAGAGAATTTACCTAGTCTGCAGAAGTCCGGGGTTCCACTCCCCCCGCCCCCCGCCCCAGTTACAGTCTGTTCTCACTACCACAGGTGAGGCAAATGAGGGACAGGGAGACTCTTTCCTTTAAACTGTGAGAGCATTTACCTCGAAGTCAGTGCATAGAAGAAAATTCCAATTTTTTTTAGCATATGCAAAGACATAAAGTAAAATTTTACGGCATGTTCTAGCATGGAAGAGAAGCTAGACTGTAGGGTTCCCAGAAAAGGGGGGGTACACAATGGTGTCCAGGATTTCCATGTCCAGTCTCCTAGGCTGTTACTCCTTCTCTACTGTCAGTTCTCAAAAGGTGAGACAATGTGTTGATTACTCCTCTGGGTCTGCTTTGAACAGAGACTGCATCCTCCATCAGCCCAGCTCGAGGGTGGACACTATCTCTATCTCTGTACTCACTGAGTGTCTGGGGATTCTGGCTTGAAGCAAGTGTCTCATGGGCCCGGGTAGCTCTCGTGGGGAAAATGCCTTTGGCTATGGGAATAGACATGATGGAAGTTAACGGTAGACTTGAACAAAGGTTGAGGAGATCATGAACTTACATTCTTCAGGTATCTATTTAGGCCATGATTTTATACTAATGACCCCATTTAACCTCTACAGCCATCCATTTGGAATGCCTAGACTTTGAGAATCAAAGAGCTGAAATGACTTAACGCAAGTCATGTACAAAGCAGGTGGCAGAACTGCCTGACTCTAGAACTTTCTGGGGGCCTGGTCTTATATGAGATTCTTAGCAGGGCTGGTATCTCCTGTCCAAGTCTCTCCTTCCCTGACTCCTTCCTGGCTTCTTTCCCTTGGCTCCTAACTAGCATCCTGCATCCCACAAGAGCCTCTGTGAAAAGAATCCCTGGGTCCAGACAGAGGAGAGGCAGGAAAGATGACACAATACCCCATCTTCTGCCCCTCCTACAGTTGTGGCCTGGGTTCTAGGAACTGCTGGACCCCTGCTGCACCCGAGATCTTGCTTGGCTCACCTTCCACCAGCAGCACTGTCCCTACGGTCAGCACCTCCAGCTCCCCAAAGCTAGCAGGCAGGGCCCTCGATTCAGCCATCCTTGAACTCCTTCCCTGCCAGCCACTCAGTTCTTTTCTAGCTCCCTGAAGCCAGGCCTTTCCTTTATAAAGGCTCATCCCATGTGCTGGCACATGGAGATTATCAGGATAGACTCTGAACTCCTTTCTTTCTCACCCTTCTAAGTCTTCCTCTTGGCTCACACAAAAGGAATTCATTCAGCAGTTGGACAGTGCAGCCTTTGTGAATCTGGAATGAGCCCTGCCCCCTTCATGCAGTCCACTAGGCAGGATTAAGGTCCAGGAACCAAATGGTGTGTGGCTGAAGGCTAAATTGGGAAAGAGTTGCATAACCAAGGGAGGAGAGTAGAAGGAAGGATTTCAGCTTGGGCTGTCTCTGAGGATGTGATAGGATCCAGATCTGTGTGCAGTTGTTGACAAGGAGAGAGAGAGAGAGGAGAGAGGAGAGAGGAGAGAGAGAGAGAGAGAGAGAGAGAGAGAGAGAGAGAGAGAGAGAGACAGAGAGAGAGAGACAGAGAGAGACAGAGAGAGAGAGAGAGACCACAGACACATCTGCATGTGCTGGCAAGCACTAGGGAAAGGATGAGGTTTAGGAAGTCACCTGGTGTCATAGAAAGAACTTTGACTGGGACTAGAGCCTCATATTCTGGTTCTGAATCTGCTATTCATTATCTGTGTGCTTTCGACTGGAACCATTGGGTCCTTTGCAATTTTCTCCTTTGCAACATAGCACCTCTGATCAATTCCCTTTCCTGTTTAAGTGCTGGTTAGAATACATTGCAGATATAGACTTTAAGGCTTCACTTCCTGTCTCCCATAGAGCCTTTGAGCTGTGCAAGCATACAGTAGTTTCCAGGACACTGGCTTAGAACATATGGGCTATAGACTCCATTTAATTTTTTTTTTTTACTTTTTATTTTGTGTGTATTGCTTACATGTGTGTAAGTATACCCATGCCGTGCAATGCCCACAGAGGTCAGAAGAAGGCATCAGATTCCCCCAGAACTGGAGATACGGTAGCCACTGTGTGGATGCTGGGAATTGAACCTGGTCCTCTGCAAGAGCAGCCAGTGCTCTTAACCACTGAGCCATCTCTCCAGCCCCAGGCTATAGACTTCTTGAAAGTTCTTCATGACCCACTAAGAACTTTGGCTTCTATCCTACCCATGAGTTCTTGGTACAAGCTGTGCACTGGCTTGTGGTAAAGCCCACATGCCCTCCTGTGGTGACTTCTCTTGCCTTAGGTTGGGTGGTAAAGCCCAGAAGGTAATGCCCACTGACACTTTAAGGGTTCTGAGAATGGGGGTGTATGGAACATTGAGAGGAGGCAAATGTTTACCCACGTTCATAAGCATATGGAGACATCTCTCCGGTTTCCCTGAGTCATCAGAATCTTTCCAGCTCTTTTGTGAGCAAATGCCTGTAAGTACCAGAATTTACAGTCTGTGAGAGGGTTCTGTTCCCCTAGACAGGGATGAAGAACCTTGGGTTAATTTTCATCAACACTCTAAGTGGAGAAACCTTACTTCTTTTGTAAATAGAAGAGGTAACATTTGAATCCACATGTCTAGCCTTGCTTGAAGCTTGGGCTCTTTCTAATGCCATCATTACCTTACTCTTTTTTTTTTCTAGGAAAAACATCCTAGAGAGAATTTTCAAAGGCCCTTACTGGAGGCCAGAGTCCTTTTTCCATTTTATCTGAACCCACTGCCTCCAGGAGACAGATCTGTTGCCCATAGCTTGGTTGGAATAGAGTTCTTTGCAAGTGGAGAGCCCTATCCATCTAGTCCAGTAGCCTCTTACCTCTGGGTAGCTGCCCACCTGCCTTATCTTGCTGTGCCCCAGCCACTTTAGGCCTGGTGCTGTTGCTATGGAGCTCTCCCTCCCCTCAAGACTGGGTGATTCAAGAAACAATAAGCTGCTGAGTGCTGGGGCTAGGGCTGCCCTCTCTAATCCCCAGCCTGTCTGTGTTTATCTGCTGGGTGGGGGTTTGGGAGTGATGAGAAAGTGGGTAGCTGCTGGGCTTGCTGGACTGGTGGAAGGAAGCAGTCCAGGCATAGGCCCTCGCCTGGGCCCAAGAGGAGCCGGGAGTCATGTGGGTGGCCATAGGCATGCTCTGGCTCCTGACTCTTGGTGGCCCTTTCCAGACCTGGGGCTTCTGTCCCTCTCAGTGCAGCTGCAACCTCCACATCCTGGGTGATGGCAGAAAGGCCAGGTAGGACACCATGTGTGGGGTGGGTCACCCAGTCTTCATACCTCCACTAGATAGGCAGAGTTGGGAGGGGTTGGATGCCCAGCAGGTGTCCACTTGCTTATGAGTCCCTTACTCCTACCTGGGGACATCTGATAAACACAGGCATGCTGGATGAAGAACCCTTAGACTGTGGGTCCTTGAAGCCTAGGGTCTTATGGGAGTGGTTTTTGTTGTGTCATAGTCAGTAAGCATGGGGTTTACTTTATCCAGGAGGTAGCAGGCACCTTTAAATAGTGGTGAGGGATAGATGTGGGCTAGATTCCAGAAGTGCTTCTGGAGTCTTCTCCAGGTTCCCAGTGAGTACCTGGAGGTTCAGACATTTCCTCCCTACCTCATTCTCTTCCTCTCTTTGCTTCCTTCTAGTTCATCTTCTTTCTGTATCTCCCAGCCCCTTCTTTCCCAGGTCTCTCCCATTCTCATGCCCGATACCCACAGGATGCCCACCTACATCATCCAGGTGTTCTTGTCTCCCAACCCATGATTTGATATCTGTCTCATCATATGCTCCTTTGGGTCTCTTCTGGCAACAGCCAGGGGCCTCAGTCTTGGCCTTTCTCTGTGAGGACTCTGTAAGGCCAGAGGTGCCCATTCCATTGCAAATAAAATGCCTCCATCCTTGGCCCAGCTCTTGACCATCACATGCTTTCTTTCTCTCCTTCCATGAGCTTTCCCAAAGCCACTGTGGCTGGTGGACCTTTGGTTTCTCCATGTAGATCATTTTCTTCCTCTCTTTAGTCATCTTTGAGCCATCCTTTCTCTGACTTCCTCAGCTTATTCAGCTGGAAACTTTGTGTTTCCTAATTTGTCCAAGGATTTCAACCCCTCACTCAAGGCCTTTCCTGTCAACTTTTCAACCTTCTGGAATTCCATCCTTCCTGTCTTCTTTGTCTTACAAAGAAGAGAACTGTAGAAACACTGATTATTTCTGATCAGGGAAACAATATTATCAGAACAACCCCTTTCCAATGAGCCTGGCAGTGTTGGGTTGATTGGGGATGATGGTGGCAGAGAATGGAGAGGAACCAAGAAAAGATACCCTATATGTTCAGAGGGGGAAAAGAAAAACGCATTACATTTTGGACTTTAAGTATTGAAGCTTTAATTTACATGGAGGGTAATTTTTCTTTCAACAGAGAAGACATATTGATCTTGAGCACCCTGGGAAATTACCCATAGCTAAGGGTAGTGTTGAGAGGGTGCTTTTTGTCACCCTGGTGACAAAAGTGACGTCATCCTCAGAGAGCATATACTTCAAAGTCACATAGCATTGGTGATGGAACCAGTCCCAAAGTCCATGAATTTTGACTTCATTTCTAGACTCTGAGAATTCTGTCATGGATGGGGAGCAGGAAAGAATTCCAGGTAGCAGAGTTAGCCTTTGGGTAGAAATGAAATTCTAAGAGAAGCTTCTAGAGGGACTGTGTCAGCTAGTGGTCATTTCTTCCCCTGAGGCCAGAGCTCCTTCAGCTGGTTTTATCTGTCTGACAGTCCTAGGAATGGCATGAATCAGCCCATCTGCATGCAGTGTCCAGGAATGAGGTCATGAAAGGCTGCAGGGGGGCCAGGCTCCCCAGTGGCCTTGGACATAGACTGTGTACTGAGATCAAGGCTCCTTTTGTATGTCAGAGGCCTTCCACTGACCCAACCCTAGCCAGAGCCTTGCAGAAAGCCATCCAGTCTCCCTTCCCTGCTTCATACTATTGTATTCTGAACACAGTATATATCTCTGTGGGTATTGCTGTTTCAGGGAGCTGGCAGTAGACAATGTGGGTACCTGGATGGGTGTTTCCCTTTGCTCTTTGGGTCAGTTTTTGTTGTTGGCTCTTACTGCCCTTTAATTTCTCCTGTCAATTCCCTTCCTCACCTACATTCAGAACTTCGTCTTTGCTATCATCCCATACCTTCTGATACTTTCTTCCTGGGGTAGATTATAAACTACAGGGGACAGGGACTTGACTTTCTCTTCTGAATTTTCCCTCATTTAGCAGGAGTTCTGTCTCTTATCTGAGGAATATGAATAGGTGGGAATATCTGTGTCATCTGTGACAATTTTACAAGAAAAAAACAAGCCAAACCCATCTGGCTTAGACTAACATATGTGAGTTAAGCTGGTAGAGTGCAGGTTTTATGCCAGGAAAGCAAGATCTGAGCAATGCATTACAGCATTACAGAAAACAATAACTTCTTTATGAGAGTAAAGTATGACCCACCTCTGCCACCCAGTGTGAGGAGAGAAACCCCCCAGGTAAGACTGGTGCTTCCCCACAACTGGGTCATGGCCCCCACCCCCACCCCCACCCCCACCGCTCTCTCTTTGGGAATTGTTCTGTTCCATTCCGTCATTCCGTCTTATCTCATGAGGGTACAACACTGCCATCCGTGCTGTGAAACAGCCTCTAATTGGCTCCTTGTGGGCAGGACTTCCTGTCATCTCTCTAGCCTTAGAGTTAGACTTGAACATGACAGAACAAGGCACTGGGCATCTGCCATTGTTTGAGCAGAAGAAGCTGACAAGACTTGTCTGCTCTAGCCATAGTGTGGAGAAGCAGGGATTTGTGACAGCAGTGATCACTAGCACGGGAGTCTTAGAGGGTGACAGGCAGTGTACTGAACTTCTGCGTTATCTAATTTCAACCCCATAACTGCCCTGCGAAGTGAAGTTTAATATGGGGGGAAAGACAGGTTATATAATGTATCTAAGGACATAAAGCCAGAAAGGAAAAGTCCAGATAAGAATCCAACCTTGAGGCTGTCCAAGTCCCCCTCACCCATTTGATCACCTGATGGCCCCTCTGAGTCACTACACACTGGAGACATTTCATGTGTGTGTATGTATGTATGTATGTATGTATGTATGTATGTATATGTGTGTGTGTATGATTTAGTTAAGTATATATTTTAAATGAAAAGTCAAAAGTCGAAGTGATTACAAAAGCAGGTATAATTTAACATCTATGCTATGGTCACAGAATTTTTTTTACTACTGCTCCTTCTTAGTGCAACTGCAGGTGTTGTGGACTGTAATGGGCCATAGTTTAGGCCTGAGGTCTTTCAGGTCCGTGGAGACCAAAAGGTTCTTCTCCAAAACCAGGAGAAACCTCAGGTTGTGTTCTGGGGCGCTGTCTCCAGAGCCCAACTGCTCAGACATCCTGCAGCTGAGGTCCGTGACGCAGGCAGATCCGGGGGCTTCATAAGGAAAGTGGGGAGATCTCTGACCTGGCAGGAACTTTGCTCAAATATCTTCCATTTCTGTGACCAGGGCTGTGGTGTGCAGCGACCCCGACATGACCCTGCCCCCAGCTTCGATTCCTACAGATACCTCCAGGCTGCTCCTAGAGCGCACCGCCCTCCGCAGGGTGCCTGGTGATGCCTTTAGGCTGCTAGGCCTCCTGGAGCAGCTGTGGCTGCCCTACAACGCCCTCAGCGATCTGAGTGCTCTCGTGCTGCGGGGCCTGCGTCGCCTGCGGGAGCTGCGTCTGCCTGGGAACCGCCTGGCCACCTTCCCCTGGGCGGCACTCAAGGACGCTCCCCAGCTGCAGCTGCTGGACCTGCAAGCCAATCGCCTCTCAGCTTTGCCACCCGAGGCCGCTCACTTCCTGGGGAACCTCACCTTCCTGGACCTCTCCAGCAACCAGCTGATGAGGCTCCCCTTAGAGCTGCTGCACACCTGGGCTCACCTGAAGTCTGTGCCCTTCCTTTCCCGCCACCGCTCCAGGTTGGTCCTAGGTAAGAGATGGCGTCCTTCACCTGGAACCACCCTGCTGCACCCTGGAATCTTGGGCCTCTTTCAGTCTGGTTCTGTATCTGGAAAATGGAAAGCATACCTCCTACGCTTGAGGGAAGAGGGAAATGGCAGGTTTAGTAGCTCGAGGCAAACATTCCAGCCTTATTGAAAAAAAAAAGAAAAAAAAGAAAAAAAGAAAAAAAAGACACACAAGTCCCTGGCTACCTGGCTATACAACCAACAAGTAGCTCCCTGAGACTGTTTCCCAACTGGGGGTAGAATGAGTTGGCACAGTATATCAGCTGGACCCTCTGCCTCTTCTGTCCCTCCCTGCTCCTAAATAAACCAAAGGCTTATGAAGTAAGCCAGGTAAGCCTTTGCTGCTCAGGGAACCTGCCTGGTCCTGAGGCCAACAGGTGCAGCAAAACTGGAATAGCCATTAAAATCACCACAGAAGTTAATGGTCCATTTTCCTACCCTAATCCCTTCTCCCTCTCAAAAAGGCCACTACTCATTACCATGCTTATTTGCAGGTTCCCCTACATGTGCATACAAATATATACATACAGAAAGCAAAGTTATGTGTTTCACTAAAAAATCATATTATATGTATTAATCAACACAAGCTTTTTCATTCAACAGTATATCTCAGATATCTTCTAAATGATTTAGATGAGACAAGTCCATTTATGACCTACTGCAGAATACTTCACAGCACAGCAGCCATTTCCCCTCAAAGGCTGTTGGATTGTTTCCACTGTCTCATTAACACCTCTGATGCCACAGAGACTATGCTCAGCAATGCCTTCTCAAGTGTGTGTGCTGAAGTCTCTAAAGGAGATGTGCCAAGGAGTGAAATTTCTGGGTCATACAGTATGCATATTAAAAAGTTTTAGGATTGTTTCTAAATTGCTGGTATAATTCTCATTCTCTGCCACTAGATGTGAGGCCACCCATTTATATGGTCACCCAGTAGGGTTTTGTTGCATATGTATAAGATGTGCATGTGTTTGCATGTGCGTGAGCACACATATTTGTGCAGGTGCACATGTACATGTATATGGAAGCCTAAAGTAGATGTCAGGTGTCTTCCTTGATCACTCTCCATTTTATTTAACTGAGGCGGGATCTCCTGCTGCCTTCTGAGTCTGCAGCTTACCAATTCAGCTAGTTTAACCAGCCAGCTTAGCACAGGGATCCCCTGCTTCTGCCACCCCCTCTCCCCAAGTGGTAAGATTACAAGTGTTAACCATACTTGACTAGATTTTATGCAGGTTCTGAGAATCCAAACTGTGGGCCGTATGCTTGCCTGACAAGTACTTTATCTACTGAGCCATCTCCTTCAGACCCTCAGCGAGTATTATTTTTGAGTGATGTGCTGGATGGCTTTGCAGCTTGACAGTCCTGGGTAGAAGGAACCACAATTGGGGAATTGCTTCCATTGGATTGCCCTGTGGCCATGTCTGTGGGACATTTTCTTGATCACTGAGTGATGTGGGGGGCCCATGCCACTGTGGGTGGTGTCACCCCTGGGCAGATGGTCCTGTGTTGTATGAAAAAGCAGGCTGATGGGCTGGAGAGATGGCTTAGTGGTTAAGAGCACTGGCTGCTTTTGCAGAGGACCTGGGTTCGAGTCCCAGCACCCACATGGTGGCTAAAAACCATCTGTAACTCCTATTCCAGGGGATCCAACACCCTCTTCTGACCTCCGAGGGTACTGCACGACACAGGTACACCTACCTACATGCAAGCAATATGCCCATACACATTGAATAAAAATAAATAAAATATTTTTTTTAAAAAAGAAAGCAGGCTGAACACAGGCCAGGGGAGCAAGTCAGTAAGCAACATTCCTCTATGGTCTGTGCTCCAGGATCCTGCCCTGAGTTCCTGCCTTGGCTTTAATTCCAGGGGATCCAACACCCTCTTCTGACCTCCGTGGGTACTGCACGACACAGGTACACCTACCTACATGCAAGCAATACACCCATACACATTGAATAAAAATACTTCTTCCCCAAGGTAGTTTTGGTCAGTATTTTATCACTTAGTAACTTAAGTTTTTTTATTAATTTTAAAATATTTTATTTATTATTTTTATTTTGTGGGTATGAGTGTATTGCCTTCATGTAGGTAAGTGCACCCGTGTCTTGCAATGCCTGCAGAGGACAGAAGAAGCCATCAGATCCCCTGGAATTGGAGTTACGGACAGTTATTAGCTGCCTTGTGGGTGCTGGGATACGAACCCAGGTCTTCTGCAAGAACAACTGGTCTTCTTAACTGCTGAGCCATCTCTCCAGCCCAGTAACTAAGTTTTATCACAGTCACTTAGTAACTAAGACAAACAACTTCTAATTCTCGATGCTGGGGGTATAACAGTGAACAAAAGAGACAAACACTCATTCCCTCATGGAACCCATTAAAATGGCCCAAATACCTTTTGCATGAATTCTTTTGGGGCTTTTTGTAACATATGAGAACTAGGCTGCTCACCACCACAGCTGAGGCAGTGATGAATCCTGGACTGAAAGATGTATCATGAAACACATTTAATAAGTGCCACAAGGCACCAGACTTTGGTGGGATGGGGTAAGGGTGTGGGAGAAAAAGCTGGCACCCTCAGTTGTACACAAAGGAACCTGATCAGATCTGAACACACCCTCTGCAGTCCTTTGACATCCCCTCTGTAAATGTATCAAATATATCTAGGCAAAAGAATAAAACATCGTATGCTATTGGACTTGCTATCAAACGTAGTAGTAATATTTGAGGATAAAAATAACATCTCATTCCATGCTTCCATTTGCCTTTCATAAATACAAATAAATAAAAAGGAATTGTGCCTTAGATGAGGACCCATGTTCTCCTTATCTGTATGAGTTTTTTTTTAAGTATAATTTCTATTTTGTTTTATCTTTCCCAGAAGATGGTTTCTCTTCTGCCCTTATGAAGCCAGCTCTTCACATGAGCTTTGTGGAGACTGTGGGGCAGCACTAACAGGTCTAAATCGAAGTGGGGGTGTTTGGTCTTTCCTGGCTTTATGAGATCAATTCCTGACCACCTTGCTATGAATGGCCCAGCTCACACAGTAATGCAGCACCCAAATGTCGAAGGCACTTGCTTCAGAGTGTCCCTGATGGCAGCGACGTCTACTATGTTCAAAATAATGAACTTCTTAATGGCCTTGTCCTTAGGCATGCACTGGGTGCAGTTCAGGCAGTGAATGGACTGAACATGGCCATTTTAGGCTCAACCATTGTTTCATCTTTTTTGGGTGATGTGGTGAAACTCACTTTGTTTTTGATAGCGTGGGCACAATGACCTGCCTTCCATTCTTTAAAATGTTTAAATTAAACAGGATTGGGGATGGATCAAAGGATTTGTCTCTAGCCTCCTATCCCATTTTTTACACCATTTGAATCTATGTAAAAGAGAACCATTGCCCAAAGTAGCTATTTGATGTGAATGCTAAAAACGCCTTTTATGCTGGGAAGAATGGGGCCAGGGGTCAGAGAAACATTTTCAGAAGTAATTCTGGCATGTTAAAATTATTACAGAAGTTCTTCCTGGCAGTGTCTTGAAAGGATTAGTCCAAGTATGGCTGCAGTATTTGTATTTTGTTCATATGCTATATGGCCTGCTTGTTGCTTAAGGGTATATTTTTATTTATAAGGAAAGCAGCCATGAGGGGGAAGCAATGCTATCATTGAAAATTAAGAACTAGGTTTAAGGGGGCTGGAAAGATGGCTCAGCAGTTAAGAGCACAGGCTGCTCTTGCAGAGGACCCAGGTTTGAATCCCAGCACCTACCTGGTAGCTAACAATCATCTGTAACTCCAGTTCTGAGGGATCTGACAGCCTCTTCTGGCCTCTTCAAGCACTGCACGACACTGGTGCACATGGAGACATAACACTCACACATGTAAAACATTAGTAATTTGTCCTATTTTTTAAAAAAAGTTTAATTGGGGAATTCCTTCAATGCATGCCTTCAATCCCAGCACTTGGGAGGCAGAGGTGGGCAGATCTGTGTGAGGTCAAGGCCAGCCTGGTGTATACAGTGAGTACCAGGTCAACTGGGGCTACATAATAAGACCATGTCTCAAAAAACAAAAACAAAAAACCTCAACAAGAAGAACACCCAAAACAGGTTTAAGGTCCTATAGCTAGCAAGGCAGGGAGCTAGGACTGAAGGCTCAGTTCTGCTGACTCTGAGCTGAGGACCTGCCTTATCATCCCAGAGGGGAAATGGAGCTGGGCCTGGTCATCTTAATGAATTCATCTCTTGCTTTCTCTCTCACTGCTGCAGGGCTGCAGGACAACCCCTGGCTGTGTGACTGCCGACTCTATGACCTGGTCCGTCTCCTGGATGGCTGGGCCCCAAACTTGGTGTTTATTGAGGCTAGACTGAGGTGTGCCAGTCCACGCAGCCTGACTGGAGTGGCTTTCAGTCAGCTGGAACTGAGGAAGTGTCAGGGTCCAGAGCTCCATCCAGGGGTGACCAGCATCATATCCCCTTTGGGCAGCACAGTATTGCTACGTTGTGGAGCCACTGGGGTCCCAGGACCTGAGATGACCTGGAGGAGAGCCAATGGATGGCCATTCAATGGTACAGGTGTGTGAGCAACAGGGCATTCTGCATTAAGTGCTGGACTGAGGTGGGTGGGTCAGCCTCCCAAATAAGGAGAGAACAATAATAGAAGGAAGCGGTGTAAACCAGTCTAGACTCCTATCTGTCTGAATGGTGTTGGAGAGGATCCTGTCATATAAGAGCATAGTGACAGTGGTTTTGGTGATGATGGTTGATTTCAACCTGTGGTTATATCTCACTAGCAACTATTTTAGAAACTCAGGACTTATCCTGGAAGCAATATAAAGCACTTTTTGGGGAGAAAACACTCTTAATGCACTTAATATTTATAGCAACTTCTTCATTTTAAAATATTAATCCAGCATCATTGGGAGTAATTAATGACAGGGTTACCATCTGTTGGACTCTTCACATGGATCCATCACTATGGGAAGTAAATTATACCCATAATGTCACTGAACCTTAAAAAGCTCACGAACCTTTTAGGTGGTCCAGGCCTGTAACATGAGCACTTGAGAGGTAGAAGGAGGAGGATCAGGAGTTCAAGGTCAATCTTGGCTACACAGGACCCTGTATCAGAAGCTCTACTCCACCTGCCAAACCAATCCAAACCAAAACTGTAAAAAGCATCCTGATTTATCTTTATTTTGCATATAAATAAATGGAGGTGTTTATCCTGGACCATACAGCTCACAGAAGAAGCCAGGATCCCATTAAGTCTAGCTGGCACCACAGTGTATATCTATTATTCTTGCTGAGTTGTGTGGGCAGAGATGAATCATCTCTGTTATGGCAGCAGGGACAGGAGTCACAACCATCCACAGGCAGAAAGTGGGTGGAGGAGAAATAATTTCTTAGCACCTAGCCAGAGAAACCTCACATCTCTCCTGGCTTTATTCTGTCTCCCTAACTGGGCTCCAGAACAGGGTGTTTGGATGAATTTATGAACTAAGTGGTAGAGAAAGCTCCAGTCTGTAACAAGACAAGATGGAGATGCTGTTTAAAGTGTCAGGAGGAGTGGACAGAGGTGGGTAGGGCACATTCAGCTGGGCCTCTGCCTCATGCTTATCCCTGAACCTACATACTCTGAATGCACTTGTTGGCCACCCTGATTGGTCACCTCTGTAACCCTCCAAGATCGAAGGACAATCTTTGAATATCTCAGATTTTGATGGTGGTTTATTCTTAGGCTCTGCTTCAGTCTGGAGTTCAGTTTCCCCACACTGGAGCGTGGATAGTCTTGACCCTCTTGGCTACTCTAAGCCAGCATTTTATAGCTATCAAGTAAAGGTACTGAGTCTTGAAAGATCCAGCCAGCTTCGCTTTGAAGGACTTGAGAGTTAAGTGAGTGCCAGTGTTTTTTTAGGGTGACAAGTATTCACTAGGGTGTGTGTGTGTGTGTGTGTGTGTGTGTGTGTGTAGCCCAGGGGCTGAAATGTGGGCCTTGAGTTTGGACAGGAGACTCCACAGACAGGGCTTTCATTTTTCTGTTTCTGCCCCTTCTCTCCCTAGTGCGCCAGGAAGTCTCCAGTGATGGCTCAAGCTGGATTCTGCTGGATCTTCCTGCAGTGTCTCTCTTTGACTCTGGAGACTACATCTGCCAAGCCAAGAACTTCCTGGGAGCCTCTGAGAGTCTTATATCCCTAATTGTCACTGAGCCCCAGACTTCTACACAATACCGTGGGATGCCAGGGGCCCTGTGGGTAAGGAAAAGTGAGGGGGCAGAAGCTGCAGCTTACAACAACAAGCTGGTGGCTAGGCATGTCCCCCATATTCCTGAGCCTGCAGCTTTGTCCACCAAGCCCTCATGGCCCAATCTGAACGAGGAGCTGGCTTTCCAGCACATGCAGATGGATGCCCCAGGAGAGCTCTCCAGGAACCAATCAGAACCCCAGGAGGCCCAGATAGTGAGGTCTCTCAAGGTGGTGGGGGATAGTTACCACAGCGTGTCCTTGGTGTGGAAGACCCCTCAAACTGGGAACATGGCTGCCTTCAGTGTCCTCTACACAGTCTTTGGGCACCATGACATGCGAAGGATGATCGTGCAGCCTGGGAAGACTAGTGTCACCATAGAGGGGCTTGTTCCCAAGACCAAGTATGTGGCATGTGTCTGCCTGCGGGGCAAGGTGCCGAGGAAGGAACAATGCATCATCTTCTCCACCGACGAGGTGGTGGACGCCAAGGGCACCCAGCGGCTCATCAACATGGTGGTGATCAGCGTGGCAGCCATCATTGCGCTGCCTCCAACACTGCTGGTCTGCTGTGGTGCTCTCCGCAGGTGCTGCCAAAAGTTCGGCACTGGGGGCTCTGCAGAGGTTTCCAGTGCATATGTTAATTTGGAGAGGCTGGCCCACAGTGAGGATGGCTCAGAGGAACTCTCACCGAGCCGCCCCAGTGAGGCTGACAGGCTCCTCTCAGCCTGTTCCAGCCTGGACTCTCAGGTCTTGGGGGTCAGGGGTGGCAGACACATCAATGAATATTTCTGCTGAGACTGAGTCCCTGCTTAGACCTCCCTGGCCACTCTCCTCCAACCTCACACACTGAACTCTCACACCCAACTGTGCGCTTAGCCACTGATTGCTTGGGTATTTGCTTATTTCTACACATCCATCAACAGCTAACACTTAAGCACTTATTGTACATCAGCAAGTGTCCAAAGAACTTTCTAGGTATTAATTCACCCAACTCTCATAACAACCACTGATAGCAGGCACCTTCTCTCTCTGTTTTCCTGGAGAAGAAACAGGGGTTAAGTGTTTTGCCTGTGTCAGTTTCTGATGCATAACAAATGAAAGCAAACACTTGGTGGTATTGCACAATAGACCTTATTTTCACTGTAATGTGTCTGTAGATTGACTGGGGAGGCTCTGCTGTGTGTCCCACTTGGGCCCGGAGCTGAAAAGTAACAGTGGTTGTGTGGTACAGACTTGTCTCAGATGACCTAAGAGAATGAGCAAAGTCATGTGATGCCTTTAAAGTTCTTAGTGTGAGATTGGCCCACTGCCACTTCTGTCCATAAGACCTGCCAAAGAAAATCTCACTGCCAAACTCAACTTTAGCAGGGCAAGCAAGGACACTTCTCCCAGGAGGTGATGATGGAACAGGGAATTTTTGCTGAACAAATTCACCACATTACAGGCTACTCCAGTATTGCCACAGGACGGGGCAGCTTTGGGCTTGCAAGGAGAAATTGTGTGGTTGGGTTTCACTAGGCTATAGTCCTCATACTCCTCTACACCGCATCTTGGTTACATTAATGCCAAAGAATAGACACATAGTCTCTGTACATTTCCCATATTTTTAAACACACACACACACGCACACACACACACACACATACACATACACACACATACACACACACATACACACACATACACACACACATAACACACACACACACCTACATCATGCTGTGACCTCATTGAATTCTAACATTCATTCTCTGGGTGATATCTCTTCTGTCTAGAGATAATCATTGTATTTTCAATACATTTTAGAGGTTTGGATGTACCTAAGAGACCACTGCTCATTTGCTCTCAGTATGCCAGGCTGGAGAGGGGCATGAGACCTTCTCTGACAGAGGGCACCATCACATCCAGCATTGTCTGACACCCAGCTCATCCCCATGTAGCAGCCTTCGTGATTCTTACTGAAATTTGTCTGGGTTTTGGAGAGTATCTCAGACACTTGTGATCCCAGCAGGCTACTTCAGAGGAGGATTCTTGTTCAGTTTTGCCTAAGGCTGGGAGACTGCTGAGATGTCTCTGTGCACAGGAGAAAGTAAATGTTCCTAGCAGAAGACACTGTGTGTTCCTTGTCTGCAGAACTGATGAGTATCATGCCCTTTGGTAACAACTATGGACCTTCAGAGGCAGGAAGTGATCCAAGGAAGTTATTTTACTAGTATCACACAAGAGACTCCACATCATATGAATGTTGACTAGATGTAAATCCCTGTTCCCATTTACAAAAGACCTCACAAAATGTTCCTTCCAATTTTCTTGCACTTGGTGTTCCTAACAGTCCACTCTGGAGGCAGGGCCATTTGGTCTTACAGTTAAGAAAAGGGACACTCAGAGAGTTATGTAACTTATACAAAGAAGAGACAGACTGTCTTTTGGAATCCAGATCTTTGACAACATTCTGGAGGCTGAGTGTCTTTATTCAGTATTCATCTCCACAGTATAGTCCACAGCAGGTTCACTATGAGAAGTGGATTTTTGGCAACTATTGAAACTTGGCACCAGAGTGCCAAGAACACATGAACACATGGTGCACATGATCATGGAGTTACCAAACTTAGATGTTTTTCTGCCATCTCCCCGCCACCAGAGGTTGTATTGATTATAATTTATGAGTCATTGCCATTGGAAAGAATTAGACAATGATGCCTCCCTGTTTGCATCACGGATTAATATAAAATCTTAAAACCAGGTAATAGATGTCACAGGTTCTGTCACTGCTAATGGAATGTAAAGCAACTATGGACTATGTGTGAGTTAATAGACATGGATGTGATCCAATAAAATGTTGCTTACAAAACAGATGACAACCTGGAGACATCCAGACAGCTTTATTGAACTTTCTTGAAAAAAAAAACAGGAATATGAAAGCCAAAATTTGTTAGTATATCAATATTGATTGAGATACAGAGGAGGGTGAGGGAGAAGAAGAGGAGGAAGAGGAGAGGAGAAAGGAGGAGGGGGAAGAGGAGGAAGAGGAGGATGAGAAGAAAGGGGAGGAGGGGGAAGAGGAAGAGAAGACAGGAGAAGGAGGAGGCAGATCAAACTTTCCCCTGATTCACTAGGGCCTATCTTCACGGTATGAATGATCATTGTCTCCAACATGTCCATGTTCTCGATGTCCTTTATGTGTTTCATCCTCCCAGACTTCCTCTTGTAGGGAAGAGTCGTTCTGGATTGTGCTTGAGAGTATTTATGTTACTAAAACAAACAAATTGCCACAAAAAATATAAATGGTACATGGTTTACATATTAACCTTTTAGTATGACTCAGTCCCTGAAAATGGAATGTTCTCAGAGTAGCCTAGAAAAAGAATTTCTTGTCTTCCTGTGCTGAAGGGCAGCTGCCACTCAGGCTATGGTGAGCCTGTGGTGTGCCCTCCTGGAAGCCTAGTTTAGAAGCTGTAAATCAATGTCAATCAGGTTATATGGTTTCATGGCATTGCAAACTGTTTTCCCCAACAACAGTATGGTTGTATTCCTCCTGACTAGGCAGAAGTTATGTTCAAAGTCACTTGCTTTTGGTTGCCTGTTTAAGTTGCAGGGTACAAAAAAAGGGCAAAAATAGAATTATGTGCTAGAAATTAGGTTGTTAATCAAGGGACTCGATGAGTAGTTTGATAGAGGACTACAGTTGAATCTAGTGAAGATGTACATCAGTTTACAGGCACTTGAGAATATTTTATTTAGTTGTGAGGGCATTGCAGGTAGGATAGGTCAGGCTTGTGCTATGGTAGCAATTCTCATATTTTAGTGTCTTAACCCATAATGACCTATTCCTACTCTAGCACTCTCCTTGAGTGAGTGGAAAATGATGAAGGAAGAGTTCCACTTCACTCACTCAAAGACTCAGGTTAATAGAAGTTCCACCATCTAGAATATCAGCAGTTACTTCAAGAAGGAAAATGAGAAAATGGAGAATCATCAGGGGCTTTCAAACATCATTGCTGCTAACATTTCAGTAGCCAGAACACAGGTTACATGACTTTCATATTTTGAGGGGGCTTGGAAAGGTGGCCTTTTGTGTATCTCTCATAGACACAGTGCAGAGTATGGTGGCCAAGGGACCATCTCAGATGTGGTTGGCAGCAGATGAACAGAAAAGGAAAGAGCTCTGTCTTGAGAGAAAGGGGGAAGAGACCGCCTGATTCCTCATAGTTCACACAGTTCTCTGTCCACTCTAGGCTGTCTCAAAGTTGCTAATATTGGGGAGTGAGTGACATTTTCTAATTGAATAAGTAGGATATTCTTTTTGTTTTTATTTCTTTGTTTTGTTTTTTGAGACAGGGTCTCACTATGTATCTTTGGCTGTCTTCCTGGAACTCACTATGTAGACCAGGATAACTCACAGAGATCTACCTGCTTCTGTCTCCTCACTGCTGAGATTAAAGATGTGCACCACCATGCCCAGCTAGGATATTCTTTTGTTGAGATTCTATTAATACAAGGCAGGAGTTATAGCCCAGCAGCCATTTATATCTGGAGTAATTCTTTGAAAACTGTCTCTTCTGAGAACTCTAGGATCCAGATTCCTAAAAGCATCCTTCAGGAGGGGAGATAGGGCTGAAATATACTTAGACCCTGTCCCCTTTGCTGTCAGGGTTTCGTGAATTTAAGGACTACACTTAGCCATGGGTTATTTAAACTGAACAATGACACAAATCAAGCCAGCATTAATTAGCCTAGTCCCCTCTCCACTCCCAACATAGTCACTTCCTATGCTCTTAGACAAAATAAGGAAGTCAGAGGACATGGTGGTCAGAAGAGGAGCAGTTGCAGAGAGGAGTGGACTGGATAATCCACAAGATTATATGACAGTGGGCATGTCTCATAAGCTCTAAACCAACTTCCAGAAAGGTGAATAGGGCTGGATTTCTACAAAAAGGTTAGCATGGAATGTTCAGAGAATAAATTATAAGGAAGGAAGAAGATCCTTTAGGATTTTATGGTCTAGAGCAAAGGGAAAGAAAGGAATTGACTAGTGCTTTCAGACACCCACTGACTGAATTGCATATTCCTACGAAACAAGCTTAATGAAGTCTTAGATAACTTGGCAGAAGACTCTGAAGTGAAAATTTCTCATCATTGTAGGGGCCAAGAGGTTACACTGGCTGGGCACTGATGACATCCCCAGCCTGTCCCTGGGTACAGGCTTGGGAAGGGCCTTGCCTCCTATAAGCACTCTTTGTAGCTAAGTATTAACTCTTTGTCTCCTGAAAGGTGATGGGGGCAGCACGTCTCCCCATCTCACACAGACTTTGTGCTCATAGCACACTCATGTTTTGTTCTTTGAACAGAATGGCAAATATGGATCCAGATACAGAGTTGGATTGCTGGAGAATGCCAGCAAATGCATCTGGTATGAGGGGAAGTCTGAAGTGTAATCAGCTTAACTGGTGACCCATTTCTCCCTCAATGGTTAGCTACTAAGAGGATTTTTTTTCCCACTGAGGCCTTTTGTAGCGTATAATATAGATCATGAGTCTTACAAGGATCCACAGAATCTGGGCATTTTCTGAAAGTGTCCCCAGTTAAAAAGGAAGTTGCTATTTCTTCTTTTCTAGACTGTCACTACGGGAGGTGAATATTCAGACATCTACAGTGTGCTAGGTGCTTTGTTTTAAAACATATGAAAATTTCATAGAAACATTGTGAAATAATCATATTCTCACTATGCAGAGGAGAAATGGAGACTTGCAGAGATTAAAATATATTTCCCAAACCTTCAAACTCAGAAGCATAAGAAAGACAGAAGACTGCACAGGGCCTTCCCTATGACAGTTTTGCTCAGTACTCCTTTCCTGGTGTCTAGCAAGTGTGCACTTTAAGCAGATACACAATAAATACTGAATGCATGAAGAGTGGTAGAGAGTGGTATATATCTTAGCATATATATAATTTTGTACGCATATAGTTTAGAAACGTAAGTCTTGCATTTTTTTGTGTGTGTGTGTGTGTTGTGAAGTAGTATTTTGGAAAAGTCAAGGAAAAGATATTCCATTAAGTTATTTTTTTCAGGTCCAAAACTTTGGTTTTATTTTATTTTATTTTATTTTATTTTATTTGATTTTATTTTCTGTCTTTTTTGAGTCAGGTGTAGCACTGGCTGGAACTCTCTTCGTAGACCTAGTCTGGACCTCAACAGGGATCCTCATGCCTCTGCCTCCAGAGTTCTGGGATTAAAGGTATGTGCCACCATGTCCAGTGACTATCTATCTATCTATCTATCTATCTATCTATCTATCTATCTATCCTCTGGAACTTGTAAACTGAAACAATGAAGTGAAAGGTGACTTACATTTTATTTTTTATCTTTTATTTGCAATAATTTAAATTTTATTTTTGTGTATTTCATACAGAACATCTCAATCAGTCTTAATCATCTTTATAACCCTTCCCCACTGGCACCCTCCACAGCCCCCCCTCCACTGGAATTCACACATTCTGAAATTTGTGTTAAGGCCTATTGTGTCAAGTTAGTGTCCCCAGACATTCCTTAGTGCAAGTTCATCTATGGAGGTTTAGCTGGCCTATCTAGAATCCCTCACTTTAGGAAGATCAGCTCTTCCTTACCCAGCAATAATCAGTTACCAGTATTTCTTCAGTTAAGACTGGGACCCTGCTCATATGAACCTACAGCAATGGTGTCAGCATGCACAGGACCCATGCAAACTCAAGCAGACAAAAACACAGCACAGAACTGGGAAAATGGACAGCAGACCCCAATCTTGGCTTTATATTTTTTAAATCCTGTATTGAAAGTGCACCATGGTGTTTCTTGGTTTTGGTCATTAAAGTTTCAGATGAAGCTGTTCTAATGCAGTTAAAGCATGACTAAACTCCTTCTGAGAGAACATGATAGGAATGACCATAGAATTACTTTGCTGTGCATCATCTGATTTTGCCTCAAGAAAGTAGCTGGAAATTACAGTTTCCAGGGATCACTGGCGAATTATGAGGGATTAGATGGATTCTGACAGAGTCCCATGAGTTGTGGTGCTCAGAATCATGGTATATAATCTATTTCTTTTTTTTTCTTTTTTTTTTTTTTTGGTCTTTTTTGAGACAAGATCTCCCAGTAGCCCTAGCTGGCCTGGAACTCACTATGTAGACCAGGCTGGCCTTGAACTCACCGAGATCTTCCTGCCTCTGCCTCCTTCCTATTTCTTTCTCAGGATTTTTTGTATGAGGCTGAGAGAAGGTAGAACCAGGACAAATTCAGAGTCTCTTTTTAGACTCGAGAACCAGACAGTGTGGACTTTCTCACCTCTGTTATGAGATACAGTTCCTTCTACATGGGCTCTGCATGAGCTGTTGCAGAGCTCAGAGCATCTAGGGACTTTGCCCCTATTGTGCTGACCTACATCAGCATAGATTACTGATAATAGGATTTGCTACTCAAAATGCTGAAACTATACCTATTGAAAACATACAAGGCATTTCCTACAGATAAATATGGCTTTAGCTTTTTAATGTTTCCTGCAAGTTTTGGTCTCTTGGGTTACATATGCAGCTCAGCCTTTCTGTCTGCCAGGGTGCACCTGCTCAGAGGAGAGTTTTGGCAGGTGCTCTGTGTTGGCAGGATACCAGAGGGTGATAGGGGATAGGGAGGATGGGCTTTCATTAGGAATGAAATGGAGGGACACAGGCTTAGAGTTGACAGGAAATCAGCCGAAACTCCTTGAGATTAATTTTCAGTTGGTGCTGGACTTTAGTGAACAAAATATTTTGATAATGATATTAGTCTTTATTTCAAGCTAATATTTTTCATCTAATTCCAGTGTCTAAAGACAGGATCCACTCAATACAACTTCCAGATTTTCTGATGTTTGTTTCAAAATGTTTATGCTTTCTTCTACAGGACTCTGCAGTGCATGTCTGTGTCTTTGGGAAAGATTCCAGGGAACCTTCCTGAAGAGTTCAAGCAAGTAAGAATTGAAAACTCACCTTTTTTTGAACTTCCCCAGGGTTCTTTCATCAACATGAGCACCTTGGAATACCTTTGGCTCAACTTTAACAATGTCACTGTGATCCACCTAGGAGCCCTGGAGCAAGTGCCAGAGCTGAGAGAGCTGAGACTAGAGGGGAACAAACTCCATTCAGTACCGTGGACAGCGTTCCAGGCCACCCCTCTCCTAAGGGTCTTGGATCTCAAACACAACCAGATTGATGCACTCCCTGAGTTGGCTCTTCAGTTCCTAGCCAACCTGACTTACCTTGACCTATCTTCCAATAGGCTGACAGTTGTATCCAAGAGTGTCTTCTTGAACTGGCCGGTTTATCAGAAACTCCAGCAGCATAGCTGTGGAGCTGAGATTCTCATCAGCATGGTGTTGGCACTGCACGACAGTCCCTGGGTATGTGACTGCCGTCTAAGGGGGTTTGTTAAGTTTATCAAGACCATTAACTCCCCATTCATCCTGGTGAATTCCTACCTGATATTCCAGAGCCATGTCTCTAAGGCAGGACAGCTTTTCCACGAGACTGAGCTCAGTGCTTGCATGAAGCCAAATATCTCAACCCCCAGTGCCAATGTCACCATCCAGGCAGGACAGAATGTGACCTTGAAATGCTTGGCACAAGCCAGTCCCTAACAAACCATTGCATGGATGTATCCCCTGATCATGTGGAGAAAATTTGATGGTAAGCATATCCAGGAGCAGCGTAGGGATCTGTAATGACTTTTTCATTAGGAAAGTTCTAAATCATGCCTATCACGAAGCGTGGGTGCAGAAGAGACTGGCATATGTCTTAATGAGCTTTCCAGAACAGAAAGGATTTCAAGACAGTATCCCCTTATCAGCATTGTTTAAAGTGGTTGTATGCTGACCTCATATGTAAATAGATATGTTGGAGATGATGATATAATATAGTGTGTAAATGTTATAGAATTACATATGAGGAAATACTTTATTTGGAAGCCTTCTAGATGAAAACTGCTATATTAAGAAATTTAGAATTCTAGAATTTCCAGCTATAACTTATTCTACTGAGTATCTAGTATTTACTTACTAAAATTGCCTGAGCAGTATCACTTGGGGTGCATCTTTGAAATAAGATTGCCAAGGTCCTGCTCTGGAGATTTGAATTCAGTGAGTCAAGGGCCAGGGATATGTTATGTTCACAAGTGTTCCTCCTGACCCCAGCTAATTTTTACTATCATATAAGGCTGAGAAGTCTCTTACGTTGATTAAATTTTCACTTCTTACTATTGTGTTAATCAGACAATATTAGATCAAAATTATACTAGAGCCCCGAGGGAGAAAATGGCTTCCAGGGACCCAGAACTGGGATTTGAACCTGCCTCTTCTTTCTTGGAACTCTGTGTTCTGTCTTCACACCTCAGCTGGAAACCCCCATAGGTTTCAAACATTTTACAAAGCCAGATGTAGGCTCCCCAGGAATATGTTGAAACTAGAAGGACAGTCATTGTTCCCCCAAATCTTCCTTTGTCTAGAAGACAACTTGAAATAAAGGAAAATTTAAGAATGTAACCAGTTGTCAGACATGATGAAAAACCTTTAGATGGTTTAAAAGAAAACTAACTGAATTTTTCACTCCCTCCCTACCTCATTTTGATCTTACTTTGATGACTGGAGGTTAAATGCTAATGGAGGAGAAAGACAGGATTTATCATTGTAGCCTCTTTTGAAACCAAGAAATGCAATCAGAGATTGACTTTTTATTTTTATTTATTTATTATTTATTTATTCTTGTTTGTTTTTTGGTGTTTTTAAGACAGGGTCTTCCTGTAGCCCCAGATGTCCTGGGACTCACTATGTAGACCAGGCTGGCCTTGAACTCACAGAGATCCACCTGCCTTCGCCCCCAAGTGCTGGGATTAAAGGCATGAACCACCACGCCCGGCAAGATTACCTTTTTTTTTTTAACTTTTACAAAAACTTTATTGAGAATTTCATACACGTATATAAGGTGTTTTGATCAAATCCATGCCCACTCCCTCCCCTTCAACATTCCCCCCTCTGAAGAGGTAACCCTAAAATCTTTTATTATTATTATTTTTTTTTGGTCTTTTTTGAGACAAGGTTTCCCTGTAGCCCCAGCTGTCCTAGAACTCACTATGGAAACCAGGCTGGCCTTGAACTCACAGGGATCCACCTGCCTCTGCCCCTAAGTGCTGGAATTAAAGTTGTGTGCCACCACACCCGGCTAAAAGTGAGAATTTTAGAAGGAACTTATAGGAAGTATTTCTTGCTT